GTCGGCCCCGGCCGACAAGGGGCCTTGCCATTACATGTAGGTGATACTATCTTTCCCGGGAGATGTAGAGCCAAGCCTCAAATGGACCGCCAACCGCCCTGCCAGAGCTCGCGTGCTGCGCTCACCAGTTCTGACTCAGGATAGCGGAAAATCGTATAACTGGCCCCTCTCGCGGTCGCACGTATTGAGACCACCATAAGAGGCCATAGGCCGATCAGTCATCAGCAGAACTCGCGAATGGTACTGCCATAATGGGACAGCGCGTACCGCCGCACCGGTCCTGGAAACGCTGAGTAGTTGGCGCAGCGTCCTGTGCTTGGTCCTGTCTCCTCCCTAGAGCCTCTTCCCACTACCATACCCGACGGGTCAGGTCGGCTCGGGCTGAGAAGCTGCGTACCGCCGCCGCGGCAGTGGCGTCTGATGACCCGCCGTCCCACTTGTTTCGGTCGCTATCGGCGGCCGATCTGCGTGTCAGACGGCGGCCGGCGTGTGATGGGTCAGGTCACAGAGGAGCCGCGCCCGCCCACCCGCAGGGACAGTCAGGGACGGGAGCGGCGGCTGTCGAGGGTGGGGTAAGTGAGAATGGAGTAGGGGCGAGGATGGAAAGGGGTGGAGTTATAGGTGAGGCGAGGTGGGATGGTTCTTCTGCTGCCAGCGGCTGACGACAGGGAAAAGGCGGATGGTACCGTAGCTAAACCGGTAAGGGACGGGACGGGACACGGTCCTGGAATGTCGGGATCTCGTCTCTGGACATGGAGATGATAAGAGCCGAAAGACCGACTGTGCTGACAGAGTGGCAGGGTCAGAACAAAATATGTGGAGTCTGGAAGGTCAGACCGCGCGAGCTATACGCTAGCTCACTTAGCTGCAAGCATGCGTTTTGCCTCTTCAGGCTTTCCATCACCATTTCTGACCATCAAATTCATCATCTGATCGTCTATTTGTATCTAAAGTTTCGCTGATCACCCACAATACGCATCAATAAAAACCCCCGTATCCTCCACTCAGTAGGTTCAGCAGCTCACTACCGGGAGCCGTGGCCGCTCCTCCGCCGCCCGGAGCCACGCGGCCCATCAGCACCTGTGCGCTCGGGCCGCACACACCCGGTCATAATTCAGCGACCAAAATAGGCCGCGGGTCGGCAGCGCTGCCGGCGGGAGGTCGTCTCTCTGCGCCCCGCAGCGCCGACCGAACCCAGCTGGAGAGAGGACAGACACCGCGCGAAAGGCGCCGCCGGGCACGGGGCGGGGCGGCGCCCGTACGACGCCGATACATCACCAGAGGATTGTATGGCTGATACTGCAGCCGAGCCGAGCGGTCGGGCCAGGTAGGCAGAGGCAAGAGGACGGGCAAAGCCAGGACGGGACGCAGCCCGCAGCGGGATTACCTATCGGCGCACTCGTCACGGCTGATCGGCAGAGTCGTGTGCGGACCGTTACTGACCTTTGCGCCGGCGGTGACACGGTGAGCCGCGGCTAATTCAGGCGCCGCGCCCGTACACACAGCGGTGTCCTGCGCCGTTCCGGTCGGCCCAGCCGCCGGCCCATAGGCGTAGGAACAGGGGGGGCCGGGGGGGCCATGGCCCCCCCACTTTTTAGCCATTTTTTAAAGTAAAATCTTTATTTTTTATTTAAATACAAAACTAAGAGCAGGAAATGATTCAGCAAGGTGAGATGAGCACAAAACTGCAAAGAATTTCTTCATAGGGGTATTGGGGCTCCCACAAAGTGACATTGAAGTTTCGCTGGCCCCCCCACTTTTCGTGAGGTTCCTACGCCCATGCGCCGGCCAGTTCGACGGACGGAGCAAACACAGTGCCACTCCCGCAGGTGAAACGCGACAGGCACTCCGTGTGTTTACCAAACTCGAAAAGCAGGTCGTGGACCAGCGCACTCACATGCTATATCTGCGAGAAGTTTGAAGGAGACGCAGTTGCGCTGCGACGGGCCAGTATCGTGACATATTTACGAGTACATCCGCGTTGTTTACCCGGATAAATAATCGGCCCCAGAGCCGAAAAGCGCCTTGACGTCAGCGCTACCACAGGTTAGGATGTGAATCTCTCAATGACAAACAGCTGGTCTGGTTGACCATCCATATCACGTTATCAACGCACCTGGCGATTTTTCATACAACGGCGCTGCTATTTACCTTTCGAATCGGCACGCTGATTGCGTGGTGCGAGTGGACGGCTCCCAGCGAGGTTTAATTAAAGCCGGGCGTTTTTGTCACAGTCTGGTTTTCAGGCGGGGAGTTTTTAGTCTGACGTACCACCGACGCCGTGCAGATGGGCACGTATAAATCAGCAAATTGACTCTCGCACCGTCTCGGTAGGATGAAAGGATAAGCGAAGACCGGTCAGAGTGGTCAGGGCGGCAAATACTCATTATATGACGAGAAACGCTATGCACGCTTCTTAGCATTAGAAGACAGAAACATAATGCAACGCATCTCACGAGACAAGTCGCGTATCGAGATCTTCAACAGTTTTCGGTCTAAATTCCCATACGACTAAAATAGGGAAATGGCACAGCCGTACGTAACACTGCGTGCCTGAGGTAAGCAAACAGCGGATGGGAGAGCTCGAGAGACTCGATAGACATTCGTGTCATCGCTGTTGTCTGTATGCACAGACGACCGCGGGGAAACATCCCTCAGATATGTCCGGAGAAAGCCGCTTTTAGCGACTGTTCATGGGCGTAGGAACCTCACGAAAAGTGGGGGGGGGGGGGGCCCAGCGAAACTTCAATGTCACTTTGTGGGAGCCCCAATACCCCTATGAAGAAATTCTTTGCAGTTTTGTGCTCATCTCACCTTGCTGAATCATTTCCTGCTCTTAGTTTTGTATTTAAATAAAAAATAAAGATTTTACTTTAAAAAATGGCTAAAAAGTGGGGGGGCCATGGCCCCCCCGCCCCCCCCCCCCCCCCCTGTTCCTACGCCTATGCGACTGTTGTTCCCGCATTGGCACCCAGCTGTTAATCGGACATACCAACAGAAAACTGCGGGAAATTCCATCACAACACCGGCCGCTCCTCCTCGCCGGCGAGTCAAAAACACAAACAGGTCGGGCCCCTAATCCAGTCGGACGTGTGTAGGAGAGAATCAAAACCCAATCACACCTTGCGTGAGTGTGGCGCCGACATCACAACAGCCATTAAATATTAATTCAGTCCGCCGTGATTCATAGCTGGATTGGTCCGACCGACCCGGCGGGAGAGCTGCGGGACTCAGTGCCGGGTTGGAGTTCGGAAAATGGCGAACCACCGCTCGACAGTCAGGACGGTGTAGTGACGTAGATAACGCCAATACTTTGATCAGAGTAAGGGGCGACAGTCTTGTTTGTGTCATATCTACGGATTACAGTACGCCGGGTAATAGGAAAGCCAGAGGAGGAAGTTAACAATCATACCATGAGGGCAACTTTCCATAAATTCATTTGCGGAAAACGTTCGGCGTTTGCACAAAATATTACTCTGAAAACAATAACGCTACTTTTTACAGCTCCAAATGAAGTCACCGGTCAATGGTATAGCCATTCACAATCGAGCCCCAGTGAGAGCTGCTTTATTGGTTCTGATAGTCTATCTCAAGTACCACTTGATGAGCCTCTGACCACCTTCCCGAGTAGTGGACCGGAGTGACCCAGCCCCACAGAAGTAGATCGGCGACTCGTCCGGATGGACTGCTTTATTGGTACGACCCACCGAGTGAGTCGAACAACCACGACCCCGCGACACCGCCGGCCGTAAACCGGGACCGTAAAAACACGATGGCTTTATGGTGCCGAAGAAGCGGTGATGTTTTTACTGGAGTAGAGCCGGCTCCCTGCTCGGTGGTGCGTGAGCCAGGTGACTGATCTGATAGAGCTGGAGGTAGGACGCCGCCGTCCGCACGTCATATCGCAGAGAGGAGCGGGCTAATTAATTGACCCAACATCAGAGTACGGCATTAGCATGGATTGTTGATATAAGCCAGGCCATGTTCTATTGGGCGACAGTAGGATACAGAGCATGCTAGAGCGTTCTGCGTTCATAATTATTGGCACAACACTTTTCCGTAACATCCCCCTGATATTGCTAAATTATGCTATTCTGTTACTTGTTAGGCATAACTGCAATGTCGTTTCGCTTTCCTATTTTAGTGAAAAGAGAGATTATTTGGATGAGCAGCACCATGAACCGTTTCTTTTTCTCTATTTGCGCAGCCACTTCGTTGCCTTGTAACGCTTCGTGTTCTCTCGTCTCTCGTAACGGGCTGTGTAACAAACCAGCTCTCACCAACCCTTTCGTGACCCGTCACGGACCACAGCCCCCCCCCCTGGGATCCCTCGCCGTGGTCTCACGTACCCAGCGTCGAACAAACACGCCGCAAAAAGCCGTCTATCCGACGCGGGATTTAAACCCCACGCTGCAGCGCCGCCGACCACCGTGAAGGCACAGACCGTTAGCGTTTGAATGATAGCAGGCGTGCGCGATATTTCGGCGCGCTCATCGGTCGGAGCAGCGCCTGGTAGCTGGTCGGCTGGGCGGTTCGAAATATCCACGGTAGATAACACCCATCGCCGCTTATCGTTTAATAACGGTTCCCGGATGTAAGCATCAATTGACAGGTGGAATGGCCGTGTCCGACAAACACTAAAGCGGAGTCGAAAACATGTTGTTGAGTTAAAAACAGCATTCCCACTGCGTGAAGTTTGACCGTTCTGGAAGCTTGCCTGCTGTGGCCGTCTTCTACGTAGAAACGAGCCATTAAATAGTTAGTGGTCACTAGTCAAGTATGCGATCTACCCGAAACCTTTTCTCTTCCCTGACCTACCTCACACACAGTCTCTTCCTTATCGTCCAACTACTGACCCTGGTACGACACCTGCTTCTAACGACGTACGCCCTCTGACATCCATCTCAACCATCTGCTGCCAAAGCCGCTGTCCTCTCTCAGCTCAATCCCCGCTGGAACGACCCACCTGAACCGGGCCTCCATCAGAGCCATTGACCTACCTGTGAGATCCCGCTCCTGCTCCTCCTCCTGCTCTTCCTCCTCACTCTCTCCAAGCTCCGGCTCCTCGGTCTCCATCTCCTGATCCTCCTCGTCCTCACTGGCGCCACTGACGTCCTGCAGCACGTCATCCGTGACGTCATCCAGAAGCGACGTCACCGTACTGGTGGAGGTGACGTCCGCCGGGCGCGGCTTCTTCAGGATGCTGGTCAGCTTGCGGTCCTCGGTCTCTGCCGGAGGCGAGCAGCGACCGGACGAGGGGCGCTCGAGAGTGGAGTTAGCCGAGCCCTCTCTGGAGGTTCGCTCCAAAGTGGAGTTGGCTGATCCTGCTTTGGAAGGTCGCTCCAGGGTTGAAGCCGGAGAGCGACCCACAGACGAGGGTCGCTCCAGAGTGGAGGACGAGCGTGCCGCAGAGTTGGGTCGCTCGAGAGTGGAGGCAGGCGAGCGACCCCTGGAGGAAGGCCTCTCCAGGGTGGAGGCGGGCGAGAGGGGAGTCCGACGCAGGGTGCTCGAAGGCGAGCGGTCGTCCGAGAGGCGCGGGATCATCGAGGCACGCGTCCGGGTCGAACGGGCCTCCGGCTCGGCTGAGGACGAAATGGGACGTCTGTTAGAAAATAAAATAACAAGTTACTGAGAACATTGTTTGATGGAGGTTGAGATCTTTTTTTGGAATGGTGATAGGCTTGTGAAACTCTTATTTACTTTAAAGTCCTTTGACAATATCGTGTGTTAATAAGCGAGGGAGTGATACAGTGGTCACTGCAAGCTTTATGTCATCGGTAAAAAGCAATGAAACTTGATTTGATTTTGTCTACCACAGAGCTGGGTGTTTTTGCCATTAGTTCCCTTAATGAACTACGTAAGTGTAAAAGTCACAGTCGTGGGATCGATACACGTCGTTCGATCAGTGACGTGTCTGGTTTTTCGCGGCTGTAGGTGGTTAATCGATCATTAATTCATCATCACACGCCGTTTCGCTACCGCGGATCACCAGATGTGACTAACGCCGCAGCGTCCGCCGTGTTTCCCGGCAGGGCCGGAGTCACGGGCCATATGTATGTGGCATTCTAGACCTCACATTGGAGACCGAGTGTGACGTGTTTTCCACCCCACACCGGAGACAAGTCACTGGCCACGACCCAGCAGGCTGTCATCAAACTAAGGGTCGGAACAGCCCGACGCTGCCCTTCCCGTCACAATTCGTGAGAGAAACTCGTGAGCACAGACCGTGATCACAGACCGTGAGCTCGGAGCTGTGAGCCGTGAGCTGCAGTGGTGACGCTTTCTATTTACCCACAAACATGGTCCGTGGCCCCGTGTTTTTCACCCAGAGCGAAGACCTGTCCTTTCCCATACTCAGTAAAATTGACAACAGTGTAGGTTATAAATGGCCTTAATCAATTTTAATGAACCAGACTTACCTAATTGTTTGTTTGTTTTGTTGGGTTAGGCCCTTTCGGTCCAATGAGACCATTTCAGAGCCGGGAGGATGATAGGATATAGGGGGAGACATTGGTCAGGGCAGGCACCCTAGTGGGTCGCCGGGGCTGAGCCCGTCCAGAGGACAGGCCACCCAGCCCCAAGGCACTCACTGCACCCGGCTACGGGGTGCGCTCCCTCGGGAGCAGCGGTGCCGCTCCAAGGGAGCAGCCCGCATGAGATAAAGTTGCCTGTCCAGCCCGGAGGGGGGTTGCGGCGTGGAGGAGAAGGATTTCAGTATCCTGAGGATAGAAGCACGGAACGGTGACTTACCTAATATCAGTTACGGTATAGAACCATTAAGGTCTATGACTTCAGTGTAAGCCGCTCAGTGAATGAAGCAGATACGCTATGGGCAGGTCATAGGCACGGTAGATGGATCCGCATAAAGTGACGGGACTGAACGGTGTGTGAGCTCGCACATACGCACTTCCTCTGTGCCAATTCTATTCCCGCGGCAACAATAGCACTCTGGGGAGGGGTCAGAGAGGTCACGGTTAACCGCTCCACAAAGGTGCCTCTGTCGACAGGAAGTGCCAGCGCTCGACACTGCCCCAGCCGAGCGGACAGTCAGCGACCCGCGCGCCACCTACCGGTTGTTCTGACGTCGCCGATCGGACTGTCGTCGTCCGTTGCCGACAGGAGGCGCTCCTGCTCGCGAGCCTTGGCCTCGATCTCCTCCACATCGCTGCCAGCCCGGTCGTCATCGTCCGGTACCGACAGCTCAGTGCTGCCACCTAATGGAAGGGTCGACATATTGTCAACATTCGTGTCAAAAAAATGTCTGTCGGGGCATTTTATGTATGTACTGAGACAAGCCGACCGGTTCAATATCATGAGCAGGTTTTGTTTTCAATCCATTTAGCACCGTTCCATGCTTCTATCCTCAGGAAACTGAAATCCTTCTCCTCCACGCCGCAACCCCCTCCGGGCTGGACAGGCAACTTTATCTCATGCGGGCTGCTCCCTTGGAGCGGCACCGCTGCTCCCGAGGGAGCGCACCCCGTAGCCGGGTGCAGTGAGTGCCTTGGGGCTGGGTGGCCTGTCCTCTGGACAGGCTCAGCCCCGGCGACTCACTAGGGTGCCTGCCCAGACCAATGTCTCCCCCTATATCCTATTATCCTCCCGGCTCTGAAATGGTCTAATTGGACCGAAAGGGCCTAACCCAACAAAACAAACAAAACAAACAAACAAATCCATTTAGTGATCTAGTTAATCTAAAATAGATTTAAGCGATTCGTAACAAGGGGCAACGGAAGATGGCACAGCACTTTGCATTAAAACCTGCACGTGCAATGCTCAGACACAGCGCGTATAGAGAGCCAATAAAGGGCCCCTGCGGCTCCAGACACACCGAATGTCTGCACTTGTCTTTATAAACAGCCCTATAGCTTTGGAGAAGGTACGAACCTGCCTTGTTGCGAGCCTTCAGTGCCCGCAGACCTCCAAACAGTGGCAGTCGGGGCTCGTCCTCGTCCTTATCCTCTGTGATGACAGGGGCCGCCGCCGAGGCCCGGTCGGCGGCAGGGGTCCGCGAGGACCTGGCGGGGGCCGGCTCAGGGGCAGGCTCAGGAGCCGGCTTTGGCTCCTCTTCAGCTGGTGCTGGAATAAAGCAGAAAACGTTTTGAAACAGACATCATAAGCAGCTCTAGCTATGGACCTCGAGCAAGATCAGACGAAAATAGTCGTCAAGCAATTTCCAGAACCAGTGTTTGTCCGAATTAATTCAAAACCAGTACCGATTTTCTAGTACAGCGTTAGGTATCAGAATAGAATGTATTATAAAAAATATATTAAAGGATAAGTAACGTAAAAATAATTCTTCAGCACTGGACATGGGAATCATGAAGAGAAACTGAGCCGTACTCGAGGCTATCTGACGTGCTTACCAGGCGGCTGTTCCGCCTTCTGTTTTCTGAGGGCCCTCAGTCCGAACAGCGGGATGCCGCTGTCGTCTGTCGGTCCAACGCCGTAACTGGACGTGATCTGCCCGGAGCCCGAGGTGGGCACCTTGCCGCGGGGCGCCGAGGAGCGCTTCAGCCAGGCGGGCTCCTCCACACGGCATAGCTCTGGGGTACGGTGGAGCACAGAGTCAAGGCTCAGAGCGTTATCACAACGCCGGCAGGGCTTATACAAAACGAGGAAAACAAAACAATGTATGGTGTTGCCACTCGCGAGACAAAGTGGCAAAGAGGGAAGTGTCAATGTCATTAAATTTCCAAACATTTCATGGAACTGATTTACTTCACAATGCATGAGTAAGATGGGAACGTTGATTGCTTTTCGGTTGTAGGTAGGTACCTATAGATAGTTTTTATTTACCACTTATCAATAAGTGGCAAAGTGGCAATTTCAACTATTATTGTAACAATTGTGTAATGTTACTTTAATGACAGCATCATCAGTAAAGAACTTACCTTCGGTGGTTGCTCTGTCCTCTGGTTTCTTGCCTATAACAAAACATGCCATGTCATGCACGAGACAAATCCCAGCCAAGATGACGCACCTATCGTGCTAACTGCCCCAAAGTGCGGCTGGATCGCATGCTATGTAAATCTATCAAATATCCAGCAAATCAAAACGTGCGGCTTCATAATACCAATACGACGCCCCATGCTCAATAATCAACGTCCGTGATATTTCATCAGTCCGCTTCAAATGCTTTATAAAATGAACACACTTAGCGGCAAAATATCCCACAAGCCTGTACTAAATACCCAGTGCGAGTGATGCAAATCAAAACATGCAGCTTGAACTAGAGTGCGAGACGCGTGGTGCGAGACCCACCCACGTGGTGATTGCTATTACAAATAAAAAGTGATTTGTGAGTTGTGACCGATGATGGTAAAATAATCAGACCAAAGTTTTCATCAAGCTTGGCAAGCAATAGTGCATAAGTTCCATAGCTCCTTCAGTTTAAGTTCTCAGAATGAAACCTTTGACGTGCTGCTTCAACTGACCTCAAGAACAGGTAAGTCTTCATCGAAAACTCAATTGTAGATGCTAGATAATGCTAATCATAATCATAGCAGCAAATACTAAATAATGAGCTTGAGCACCAAAAGCAGACAGCAAATCTCTCATTCCAGTAGGCACTTATTCATACTTACTCTCAAACTTGTCGACCTTGGACTTGAGCGGCTCAGCACTAGCCTTGGGCTTGAAGTCGCGGTCCCGATCCACCCGGTACTGGGACGGCCTCGGGATCTGTGTCTCCTGCTTCGCGGTCCTCTCGGCTTCGGCCCGCTTGGTCTTCTCCGGGGAAGGACTTCGCTGTGGCACGTCTCGGGGTGGAGTGTCCTTCTTCGCGGGTTTCTCTTTCTCAGGAGATTTTTCTTTCTCCAGAGGCTTTCCACGAGTCGGAATATCCTCCTTGGGAAGACGCTCCTCTGGGGTCAAAGCCTGTTTCTGGAGTTCCTCTTCCAGTGCGGCGTCTGGCTCGGGCAGTTCATTTTCCGAGTCAACTTGCTGCTCGGGAAGCTCTGTTGGAGGCTCCTGTCTCTGCTCGGTCCGCGGCACCTCTGGACTCGGCTCCCGTGGCGGGATACCGTCCTCCTTCACCAGATCCTCCTCATACTCAGACTCCTCCTCAGAGTCCTCGTCCTGGTCTCCGGCACCAGGCGGCAGCTCCTCAATCTTGGGCCGGTCGAGCGGGTCGGACGAGTGGAACAGGCGCGAGGAGTACTCCATCTTCAGCCGGCTCATCTCGGCGCCAGCTCGGTCCACCTCGTCCGGCTCCTGGACGATGGGCGGCGGCGCCGGCGGCTCGCTGCGGCTGCCGCGGCGCGAGCTGCGCGAGCCGCGCCGCTGCCGCAGCTCGTCCTCCGCCGGCTCGGAGGTCCGCGAGGAGCGCCGGGCGGTGCCGTCACGGGCTGGCTGGGAGACAGGGGACGACTCGGTAGGAGGAGAGCTCCGAGAGGACGGGACGCGCTCGGGCTCCGAGTCATCGGTAGGCTTCTCAGGTTTCTTGTCCCGTCCAGCACGGTCTCTTGGGGTGCTCGGAGTCGAGTCGTCCTCCGGTGCCGTTACATTAACGGTAACCTTTTCAGGTTTCGTTTCCTTCGGGACATCTCGACTCGTCACAGTCTTCTGCTCGAACTTCTCCTGGGACTTCTTAAACTTTGAAAACTTGTCTTCTGTCTGACTTTTGGGTGATTTTACAGTTGTATCTGAGATCTTGGATTGTGTCGTCACTTTCGAAAACAGTGAAGAGCTGGTTGTTGTGGTAGACATTTTCTTGACCATCCTGATCCGTGTCCGTACTTTGAATCGTTCGTCGTAATTGCTGGCCTTCTCGAGCTGTGAAACGAAAAGACGAATAAACGTCAAATAAGAAAAATTGCCATTGCTCGTAGCATTCAACGCACCAAAGGTGATCAAAGCTGAAAGGCAAGTTGTATTAAACTGTACGAGCATATCAAGAAGTTAAATGCCTTACTGGAGGTGAATCAGCTAGAACATGCAATGATCGAAAATAATCTAAAAGATGTTATTATTAGTAACCTACCATTGACTCTAGAAGTGCCAGGTCATCGATCTCCTCCAGCGGCCAGTCGGCCTGGTTGACAGCCCGGGGTTTCTCATCTTCCTCCTGTGGCTTCTGGTCCTCTTCAAGCGGCTCCTCCGGCTGGCCGGACGGCTCCTCAGTACGACTCTTTTCCACTGGGCTGGGGATACGCTGCTGTGCCTCTTCCTTCGGCTGACTCTTCGGCGTGTCGTCTGTCCTCGTCGCCCGTCGCGTCGGCGGTTTCTCAGACGTTTCGTCACGCTTCGGAGTCGCCGTCTTTTCCGGCATTGTTTCAGTTTTCTCTGGGGCGGACTTGCGGTCGTCGCCTCCCTTGGGGAACAGCTCGTCCATGAACTCGCTGTCTGGGTTGTAGCGCAGGTTGGAGAGTCGAGTCACGTTCCGGAACGAGGCCCTGTTTGAGCCCGAGTGCGTGTCACGGGCGAGCTCTCCGACGAGCCGTGCCGACTCGGGCTCCGCGGCCGCCGGCTCCGGCAGCTCCGGCTCCTGCGGCGGCACCTGCTTCATCGGTGAGGGCTCGCGCGACACATGCTCCAGACTCCTCAGCGAGTCGGCCCGGTTCAGCTTGCGTGCCTCTTCCACCGAGATGCTGCCCTCTGAGGCGATGGACGAGCTGCTTACCATGCGTTTGTAGGGGAACTTGCCCTGCTGTAGAGCCTGCTTTACATCTGTGTAAGAGTCCTCCTGGTACTCCGGCTCATCAGTGGCATGAGGTGACCCCGGTCGGTCCTTCTCCTCGCTGTCCCTTCGAGTTGTCTCCTTTTGTGGGGAGACTGAGTCGCGTTGGGGAGCGCGAGGCTCCCGCTGCGGCGACATGGAGTGCTTCCTGGCAGGCCAGGTTTGCGCCAGCTCAGCCGGAGTGCGATCCATCTCGATGTGGGCTCGCATCACGAGGACAGACTTTTCTGGGGAGGCGCGCGTGTCGATGGGGCGGCTGTCGTGCGCCGGCGCCGGCTCGTCGTGAGCCAGGTGCTCGAACTTCTCTCGGGCACGATGCACCGAGTCGCTCCTGTCGAGACGCATTTTGTTTTTCGAGATAGACGATCGGCGTGAGGTGGTTGACTCTTGTGAGCGAGACTCGAACTTCTCAAATGCCTTGGCTAGCCGGCTCGACTTGAAGCTAGGCTGACGGCGGAAGACGGGCGGGCTCTGCTCACGAGCCGGGCTGTCCTGGCTCGTCCGGGAGCGGCGACGGTTGTTGTCTTCGAACGGCCGGTCGTCCTCGTTGACGTGCACGTCCGGTGAAGGTACGCCGTCGCTCTTTGCCTCCTTGGTGTCATCAGCGGACTTGAGGAAGGTCAGCTTGTCCAGGAGGCCGGAGCCGGCCGCCTTCCTGCGCAGCTCGCCGCTCTCGGAGCGCTGCTGCGGCGCAGGGCTTGGCGGACGCTCCGGCTCAGTGTCCTCGCCGCTGGTGACCTCTCGGCCGTCCACGATCTCCACGTGCACAGTGTTCTGGAACTCATCAGGTTTTGGCGCCTCAGGAGATTCTTCCGCTTGAGCAGGCCGAGGACTGGGAGATCGCTCATCTCGCACTGGCCGAGGCTCGGCAGGACTAGCGTCTCTGGCCTGAGGGACGGGGGATTTCTTGTCCTCGGTCACCTGTGGCTCTGGAGTGGGGTTCTCCCTAGCTGGAGGCGGAGACGGTGAACGTTTACGGAGCGGAGAGCTCTTCTTTGCTCGTGGTGAAGCTGTCTCTACCGGAGGTGACTTTGACTTAGCTTTTACTGGAGAGCGACGTGATTCCAGCGAGGTCTTGCGCTCGGATCTAATGCTTGCATCTGATGACCTCTTTCTGAGGACGCCAACAGAATCCCTTATACGATAATTTTCCTTCTCCTCAGACTTCTGTCTACTGCACAGCCGTTCTGTGCGGACTGGTGCCTCCTGACTATTCTTGCGGCTGTTTCGACGACTGGACATCGGCTCGGTCGCAGGCTTGTCCTTTTTGGAAATGTCTGATCCCCGCCTAGTGGCGGGCTTCTTTGCCTCTGGTTCAGCCGAGGGCCTGCGACGAGACAGGTCAGAGTCACGTGACTTGAGCGGTGATTTACCAGGACTTCTACGAGACTCTTTCCTTGCATCACGAGGCTCATCTTTCTTCTGGACATAACTATCGTCTGCCTTGGATTTTGGAGAACCCCGTTTTGATTGCACTGGACTGGTTTCACGGTTCAGCTTAGCCTCGCTAGTCGGAGATGGGGACCGATCGTGTTGGTCGCTGACGGCAGGTGACTCATCGGCCGGCTTATTGTCCTGCTCAGCTGAATGACGATCCCGTTCCTCCACTTGTAAATCATCCTTTGTAACACCATCTGAACGTTCTACCTTAGTTTCCTGTGATTCAGGACGGTCCAAACCATAAGGCTCTTCGCGCTCATCACGTTCAGGCTCTTTTACGGGAATTGGCTCTTCTTTGGAATGAGATGTCGGGGACTCAGCTCTGTCAGGCACCTCCCTGACTATGTTTGGCTGATCATCGTCGTTCAGTGTCTGTTCTTCCTCCCGCTTTGGGGTCCTCTCTCGGCGTGGTAGAGAGCCATCATTACGTGCCGGCTCCTCCGCAGGCTCCGGCTTCCTTCCCGGTGAGTTGAACAGCTCTCTTCTGCGGGAAAAGTCGGATGCGCGCGGGACCGGAGCGGCAGTAGGAGAGCGGGTCTCTTCAACCGCCGGAGCCTTGTCCCAGATAGTCGCCTTGCGCGGCATCCGAGGCGATTTTGGCACCGTGGTGTTCGTCTTAGTGACTGCCTGCATCTTATGCTCGAAGAGAGACATCTTGTTCCTGACGGATTTCACCGCTGGCTCGTCATCGGAGCCATCATGTTCCGGCTCAGGGGCAGGGGTCGGGACCGTTCGTGGTTTGGATGCCACTGGCGGAGCCTTCCTAGATGGGCTCTCCGGCTCTTCTGACGCTGTAGGATGCTGTCGATTCGTCTCCTTGGGACTCAGCTCATGTGTCCTCTGTACTTCGGGAGACATTTCTCTTTCTGGAGTCGGGCTGGAACTCTGCTTATTCTCAGGGCTCAGACGTCTGCTGCGCCGCAAACGCTCTTCACTGGGAGACCTGTCGTGGCGTGGCCTCTCCTGGCTCGGCGATTCCTGACGTCTGAGCTTCTCGCTGGGAGGGCTCTGCTTCCTTGATCTGTCTGGGCTCGGCGACCGCTCCCGGTTTTGCCTCTCCTCACTGGGCGACCTATCACGCGGTTTTGGTGAGCGTAGGGACTCAGGGGAATCAGCTCTCTCGTCAGGCGGCAGATCTGGGACGCTGTCTGGCTCTGACGGCCTCCTGCCATCGGGCAGCGGTCGGTCTGGTGAGTCCTCCTTGTTGCTGTAGTACACAAACTCTGACTCCGTAACTGACTCGGTGTCACTCTCGCTACTGCTGCTGCTGCTGCTGTCCTTACTCGGAGCGCGCTTCTGCTTCTTTTCAGGTTCCGGACGGCGACGAGTAGTGGCCTTCGTCGGAGATTTCTGCGCGGGTTGGGAAGGCACGTCCGAGCCACGCCGCTGTTCGGACTTCTTCCGTTCTGGTGTAGCAGATTCTCGTTTTCCCTGAGATGACCTCCGGCGGCGTAGCTCGGCCAGTCCGGTATCCAGAGGTGCCTTGCGTGTGCATGGGGCGCCCGGCGTATGCTGATGAATGCGACCGCACGGGTTGGTGTCTGAGCATGTGGCTGGTTTGACGGGGCTCGATTCCCGCATCCTCGGCTGGCTGCCAGTCGATGAGGCTGGCTTGGACGGGCTGACAGCTCTGCCCCGCGGCTGGCTGATGGTCCGTTTCACCGGAGTTTTGGCCGGGTCGGCAGACGGCCTCCGGCGCTCCTCAGAGGCAGCAGGCTTCCTCTTGTCTTCCTGAGGACGCTCCTGAGGACGTGAGGTACCGCGTCGAGGCTGACTTGTCCCAGACGAAGTTGTCCGGGAAGCCCGAACCGTTGTATCAGAGCCACGAGTGGTCCTCGGCTCTCTTACAGACGTTCTGGGCTCCCGCGTCGCACTTCGGCCAGTCGGCTTCAGTTTAATTTTATTTTGCACGACCGCCTCGACCTCAGCATTATCCACCTTGATGGCGAACTCTACAGGAGCTCGCGGCGCCGTTCTGCCATTTATCTCCAGAGTCTTCTTAGTCTGGTACACCTTCCTCTCCTCCTCGTCTTCTTCGTCGTCCTCTTCCTCCCTTGGCGAAGACGGAGTCCGCTCGTCAGCCGGTGCTCGTACTACTCGGCGTCTGCGCACCATCACTGTTCCGTCCTCATTCTCCACTTCTTCATCGGACTCTTCAAGTAGCTCACCGCCAATACCGGCCATCACAGTGTCCAGGTCATCGGCGCCTCCGCGACGGACCTTTTCCAGGAGCCGGTGAACCTGGGGCACGTCCGGCGCCGCACCTTCATACGTCACCAGCAGTTGGTGGCGCTCGGAATGGAGCTCAGTAGGACGCAGCTCCAGCAGCACACCGGAGCCGTCCACCGATACTGTCACGTTCTCGGGCACGTCCCACACGTCGCCGGCGTCAGAAACGTCGCCGACATCGCGCTGCTGCTTATCCGCGGCCTCATGCTCCGGTTGACGCTCACCCTCCGACCGCCGAGGGCTGCTAACTCCGTTTTTTGACGGCTGACGGCTGGTCACCGTGGCCCCCGCACGACCGGTTGGGCGCGACGAAGACCGACCCGAGGGAGTCCGCGTCAGCGCTGTCTTTCTGTCGGTACCGCGCTGACGCAGTGTGGGCTCCGCCGGTGCACCTCTGGTCTTGATGACTTTGGTGCGCGTGACGGTATGGGAGCCGTCTTCTTCGGTTTGTTCGGTGCGTGAGTCCTCCATCACCTCGCCTTCGACGCTGGCCAGAATACGTTCGATCTGCTGCAGATCGTCGAGACCAGCGTCCTGCAGCTGCTGCTGAATCGCCTTGAGGTCGGGCCGAGCACCATCGTACTCGACCACCAGCTGACGCTCCGAAGAGCCGTTCTCGCGGCTCGGAGCGGGCCGACGCCGCTCCGTCTTGGTCGGCGAGGCATCACGCGCCCGCTCGGCCGGCTTGGTTGTCGTTCGGGCAGCAGGACGCTTGGTCGGCGAGGCGTCCCTGCTGGGTACCGTGCGCCGCGTCGTGGTCGTCTCAGTCCGTCTGAAGGAACGTCTCGCAGCTCCGTCACTGCTGGAGCCCGGCAGACCTGGCCGGGAGGGAGACGGCGCAGCACGCTCCGGCTTCTGCACCTGGTGTGTTGCCGTGGTGGTAAACCGTTTGCTGATCTCGGACACCTTGTTGCGAGAAGGAGCGCCGCGAGTGGAGTCACGGGTGGTGTCACGGGCCGAGCCGCGTGTGGATCCACCGCGGGTGAAGGGCGCGTCTCTGGTCGAGCCTCGGGTAGATCCGCGGGTAGAGCCAGAGCGCTGGAAGTTGGACGTCTGTCGAGTGGCTGGCTTTTTCGCCTTGCTCTCGACATGCTTGGTGATGACCTTCATGATGTGAGTGACCTGTTCGGTGGAGAAGAAGCCAATCCTCTCCAGCTGTCCGGTCAGCTCCTCGAGGTCGGGGTGGTCGCCCTCGAGTGTCACCGTCACCTCCTGCTGCTGGTTACCGGCATTCAGCGTTAGGATCACCTGCTTCCCCTTGATTTCGATGTTGACGTCGTCGGGTCCGGTGCTGACGCTGCTCGGTGGTGGTTTGGCCGGGCTAACCGGGCGACGGGAAGAGGAAGAGGACGGTGGACGCAGTGTCTCCTCTGTCCTCACCACCTTTCTTCTGCGGATGACACGACGTCCTGCCTCATCCACCTCCTCAATGGTCTCGTCCTGGAGTACCTCACCGGTCACCTGGTTGAGCAGCGCGTCCAGCTGCTCCTGGTCGGACGGGTCCAGCTGAAGCACACGTTCCACCAGCGCCTGCACGTCAGGCCGTGTGCCGTCGTAGTGGATGACTACCTCGCGGGGACGTTCCTGCGCAGCGGCCAGGTTCAACTGGATCTGTCCGTCACGCAGCCGAAGCTCTGGGCTGTGCTGCGGCGCGGCCGGCCCCTCAGTGGCCACCTCGGCGCGCGTGGTGCGCACTGGTTCGCCATCGACGGCTGGCTCATGGGATTCAGCGGGCTGACAGCCGAGCTCCTCCAGCAGCTCGTCCAGACCATCCGGACCGCTGTTCTCCAGAGTACACATCACTTGCTCCAGGTCGGGCGCACCGCTGGGGTAACGCAGCAGGAATTGACGGGCCGGGGCACCAACGGTTGCCGGCACCCAGACCTGCAGTTCGCTGCCACGCACGGCCACCTCTTGCGCGCAAGGTCGGCGCGGCCGCTGCGTCGGCGACGGCGCCTGCAGCCGCTCCTCTGTGCCGCACTGGATCACTTTCCGGCGGCGCGTCACGCTGCGACCCTGCGCGTCCTCGTGTGTCTCGTGCTCGTCCTGCAGTACGAGGCCACCGAAGTCGGCCAGGATGTCGTCCAGCCGCTCGATATCGCTGAAAGTGAAGTTCTCCAGCTTCTCTCGCAGTGCTGCACAGCTCGGCCGATCCGTGCCGCTGAAGCTCCACATGAGCTGACGCCGCTTCTGCGGGTCGTCCGGCTCCACCGTAATAAGGATCTCGCCGTCTGCGACCTCTACGTCAGCGTCACTGATGATCTCCGGCGGGATCACCTCGACCACCTCGCCGGCACCCGGCTCGCGGTCGAACTCTCGGACGGCAGTGCGCACCTTCTGCGTGCCCACCCGCTTCTCTCCGCCCAGTCCGGTGAGCATGAAGTCGATGTTCTCCATCTGGTCGAGACCCAGTTCCTGCAGCTTGCTCTGGATCTGCTTCACGTCGGGACGATCTCCCTCATACTCAAGCACCACCTGGCGTCGCGCCTTGCTGAACTTGTCCGGACTGAAGTCAATGACGATCTGGCCGTCGCCGATCTCCACACGGGCGTTCTCCGGCTTGTTGACGATGTCGATGCGCTGCTTGCGGGTGGGTGACGCTCTGGCGGGCCGGCCAGCCGGCGGCTCCACGGTGGAGATCGCCCGACGAGCGCGCCGGTCCGTCGGCCCACTCCTCTCTGGTGTGGCGGACTTCCGGGCGGGCACCTCCGTGGTGGCGGCGCGCGAGGAGTACGTCTTCCTCGGCGAACTGCCGCGGCTCTCACTGGCCGGACTGCGCCGGGCCCGCGTCTTCTCAGTCTCTGGCGACATCTCCTTTCTGCCCGGAGACATCTCTTTCCTCACTGGCGATGCCTCTTTCCTTACTGGTGACGCCTCCTTCCTCGGCGGCGACGCCTCCTTTCTCGACGGAGAGGAGGCTCGTTCCGAGGAATCAGCCGCCTCCCCCGCCAGGCGACGGTAGCGGGAGTCACGCTCCAAGCTGCGCTCCCCGTCGTCCGATCCGTGCAGGTCCTTGAGGCGACGCTCGCGCAGCTGGAACATGCGAGCGCGAATGTTGCGCTTCTCGGTGACGTCCTCCTCCTCCTTCCACTGCGGAGAAACAAAGAATACTTTTAGACAATGATAGCCGTATCCAGTAGCGGCGGAACACCCTCAATTAAGGGGGGGGGGGGCACTGCCGAGTTTTGGTCCCATTCTTTCCATGCAACGCCCATAGGGCTAATGTTAAAATACCAAAATCAAAGGGGGGCCCGGTGCCCTCCCCGTTCCACCGCCTATGGCCCATATCAGTAGTTACGCAAGCTCCCTCTAAATAGCGTTCCTTAGTAAAATGGCAAAGCAGCGTGGCTGACAGTCCCATAGAAGTAACACCAATATAAATGTGTCCCCATTGATATAAATAAGAAGCGGGTCACTAATCGGCCGGGTGTTCGCATAGCTCATACTAGCATCACAACATTCTTATTTATAGTCAGCGGACCTGACAGCCTATCGCTTGCCGAGCAGAACGTCTCAAGCAGCAAATAATGTGCCCTATCTTGGATGACAACGAGCCGTCATCGGTTAGTTATCGCTCGGCGATAACTGAGGTTCTGGGCAGCGCGAATCGGACGGGAGACCGGCACAGCGACCACCGCCGACAGAGGAGGGTTAGGGGTGAGGCTGGAAGGGGGGGGGGGACGGGACGGGAGACGAGAGGTCAAAGTACACGCGGGCCGGCCGCCGGCCGGGTGACACCATTAGAGCGCGGCAAACAGGGGAGAAGGGTTGAGCGCGCGGCCCAGTCAGTCGCCGCGCACGGGCGAGAGGGAGTTGTGTGCGGTGGGGAGGCTCTGACGGCCGATACTGTGCGGTGAGACGAGCGACGAGAATCCCAGCGTGCACTTCCTGGATATGGAGCATTTTCCAAGTAAGTCCCGGGTCATGAGGACACCCCACGGCACGCCCGGTCCGCTAGGTCACCGCTACCAGCCACACGCCAGAAGGCCTATACGCCCCACTCAGTGGCTGCCATACCGCGCCACCACTGTCGTACTAGCGGACCGGAAGCCGTCCGAGGCGGGGTCAGTCGTCCCCGGGAAAAAAATATTGCTGATGGGTGTGAAGTGTTAATACTAACTGTACACGTTCGGCCCTTCCGGCCCGCCAGCCGCCGCTCACGCCGGTTAGATGGACCGCCTCGCAGCCCCCCCCCCCTCCCGGGATAGCCAGTCGCCTGTAACTAGGTACCGGTCCCACGGGCCGCCGACTGTAAGCACGGGCTCGCCAGCTGCTCACTCCGGTCCCACGGCCGCAAGCTGTACGCGCACGCCTCCGGGCTCGCCAGCTGTTCACTCCGGTCTCACGGACCGCAAGCTGTACGCGCACGCCTCCGGGCTCGCCAGCTGCTCACTCCGGTCCCACGGCCGCAAGCTGTACGCGCACGCCTCCGGGCTCGCCAGCTGCTCACTCCGGTCCCACGGACCGCAAGCTGTACGCGCACGCCTCCGGGCTCGCCAGCTGCTCACAAGGACAGGAGCCGGCGCCCGACACCGGGGCAGGCAGCGCTGAGGGCAGGCCTTTAATGGCCAAAAGGAGAACACCGCTGGGAGGTAAGCACGGGAGTGAACGCTAGACCAGAACGGTTAGTTATCGCTCGGCGATAACTGAGGTTCTGGGCAGCGCGAATCGGACGGGAGACCGGCACAGCGACCACCGCCGACAGAGGAGGGTTAGGGGTGAGGCTGGAAGGGGGGGGGACGGGACGGGAGACGAGAGGTCAAAGTACACGCGGGCCGGCCGCCGGCCGGGTGACACCATTAGAGCGCGGCAAACAGGGGAGAAGGGTTGAGCGCGCGGCCCAGTCAGTCGCCGCGCACGGGCGAGAGGGAGTTGTGTGCGGTGGGGAGGCGACCCACCCCACCCCCGTCATGCCCCCTCTCACTTCCCATCGTTGTCCTTTCCTTGCCCCGTCCCGTCTGCCCTCGGCTCTGCCTGTCCAGGAGAGTGTCTTGGAACGAAAGGACAGGAGCCGGCGCCCGACACCGGGGCAGGCAGCGCTGAGGGCAGGCCTTTAATGGCCAAAAGGAGAACACCGCTGGGAGGTAAGCACGGGAGTGAACGCTAGACCAGAAGCATGGTTAGACGCCGGCATAACTGCATGTTCATGGGCCCACCTCTAACTGCTACGGGGCGCCAGATCGCTGTATTTCGTTTTACCGGTTTGGGGTAGCGCTTTTATTGCTACTTTCTTGTTTATTAAGAAATGTATGAATGTCGCGCTTACATCAGGCATCGGAGCTTCTGCTGACACAATGCTATTACCACGGTGTAATAAATCTCTGTCAACAACCATTATTTGTGGTGGCTGCGGTAGGTAGGTATTTCAAGCATACCCGATGCCGGAACGACACAATCCGTTCCGTTCATGTGCAACTAATCTAGCATGAACTATGCAGGCAGACTATTATTTACATGCGAGGGAGCATCAGCTTGAATTCGCATTCGGTCACACAAATGCCTGACCACCCACGCGAAGGGACTCAAGAGGATTCGCGGAAATGAATGCGATGCAATCTCAAAGAAATGTTTACTGATCTCCCGTATTTATGGACACAGCGTTCGTTGAAGAGACGACATTTGAAGACGGCATTTGTGCCCTTTACAAATGTCGTCTGATGGCCGTCAATTATGTTTTGTTAATTAAAGATGTCCAAATATGTTAATCTGACGTTGTGCTTTTAGCTTTACCAAGTAGTTTGATCACATCCATTGATTTGAAGACTATGCTACCTTATTGAGACAGTTAAAGGTTGCCGTCTTTTATGAAGAAAAACAATAATAATAGCTAAGCATGATTGAGTCGTCATGATCATTACTATCACCAAAACAATATAATATAATCCCATTGAAAAGGCAATGTTTTTCCTCACAATCGGCTTTGGACATATCCTATAATGGTCTTAATCCTTAGCCACCTGCAATTGCATCGGCGTTCGAAACACACATACAGTCAATCATTAAAATAATCAAATAAGGTAGCGGCCCACACCCATGAAGTTAATCAATCAAGTTGAGTAGCTAGAGCCGGAAGGAGGAGATGAGTGTAGGTCTGGTCGTCGGTCGACATCAAACATAATCTAGCGTTTGCTCCTGGGGCCGAGCAGCGGCGCCGGGTGACAAGGCTGGTATGGTACTCGGCATGGGCCAGGATGAGGTAGATACTAGATAGTGACATCGGTCGTCTCTCTCGTGTGATTCAGAGTCGCCGCTGGGGTCTGGCGCGGTCACCTCCCCCGGATCGATCAGTCCACGAGTCCCCGAGCTGATCTTACTGATCTTTTTCAGTCGTTCATCGGTGACCTGAATTCGTCAATAACTCAGCACGGCGCCCTAAACTGAATATCGAGTTGCGAGCAGTTCGCATACCGCACCTCACGAACTAAGGGGCGAGCCGGCACGCTCTACAAATAACAAGGGAAAGATGGCATTGCTTAGTACCACGACTGTCCATGACTTGTCTCCGAAACAGTGAATTTCGTGAGCTCACTCCAACGAATCACTACCGCATGTTAGTACATATTGTCCAGTTTGGACGTGAGGTATGATTAATGACCCATTCGTGTCAAGCGTTTGATTTAAATCTCGAATGCCGCTTGAATAACGATTTATCATCGACAAAGATCGAGATAGCTTAAATACTAATTGAATGCCTTTCATTCCTATTCGTAATTGGTTTGATTTCTTTGCCCCAGCACCGGTAAATCATTAGATTCAAGTTATCAATCACCAAACGACTGCATTAGAGCACATATTTATGTTCACACGAAATGAGTGATTTACTTCAACGCTCAATGCCCTAAATCCGCTCAGGAAGACGGAATCGCGCTCCGCCCGGTAACAATACTTAAAGCTCGGTCTAATCCCGGTGTTCGGTTCACGTGTTACTACCGGAGGGGAAGGGAGGGGAGGGGGAGCCAGAGGGCAGCGTGGGGGGTGTCAGATTTCGGCCAAGGTCTGCCGGCGGTCGGTTTAGCCACGGACGAGCCGGTCCGACCGGCTGGCAGGGCGGCAGGCGAGGTACCGGCCGCCGCGGACGGCATCGGGCAACGCACGACTGCTCACGGCGCAAGGCCACGGCCAGACTTAGCTGCTGCCGTGACACAAATACTGTCCGAGTACCTATCGGTTATCGATCAGTTTTATCACGGCGCTGGTTATAGCCACGGAGCTTTTCACCGCTCATCAGCTGAAATGGGAAGGCTTCATGTTGCGACCGAGAGTGAAAGTCGCCCCTGCGTGGGATGGGACGGAGTCGACCTCTCCCGCGACCCGGTGACCCCTTGCGCCCCTCTCGTGACCTGTCACGTCGGCCGTCACATTATCAGAGAACTGCGGCTCGTCACGAGACCGCTACAGTGATGGACGGTTTGGTAACGCCGACCGCATAACACCGTCATGGTCTCTTACGGAGAAGTTTAACGATAAATTTTGTCGATATTTTAAAATTAATATTAAACTAACACACATCTTATGTTGGACGAATCTGGGCTTTGCATATCGCAGATCTAGCCTTTTGTTTTCGCCATTAATCCTTAAATCCGTTTCCATGACAGGAAATTAGTTTCCAATTGCCTCACAGGATTACTATAAGGAGCTGCCAGGAGTCATTGAGCCAGACTTACCATTTTACGGAGAAGAACCTCATCTTCGATGGTGTCCAAGTCTACCGTCGGCATCTTCAACGGTTATGTTATCTGAAACAAACCAAAATCCTCATTAGCTGAGTGCGTTCTGGAGTCATGAAACTCTCATGCCCCGGCATTTTAATGAGCTTAGCCTGGCCAGTAGCTGCAACTTCCGATTTAATGCAGCGACTGGCGCCATCTTTGTTTGATCCATTAATGCATACGCGTCTCAGCACGGAGTCGAACACCTGGAACACGATAGCGCCTTCAATATGCCGTGTCAGAAACTCGACATCACATCCTGTGTCCAACATTCTCAGAAGAGCACAGGGCAGGAGTTGGGTCAACGGATGCACCATATCCCGCGCCCTGCTGGGGGGTGTTTGAACACCCCCCTTGTGGTTTTTCGCGAATATCTCAAAAACGGCGGCGCGGAGCGCCGCCGTTTTTGGTACACCTTATCATACATCAATTCTACACATGTTGTGAAAATTTCAGACCAAGTTCATTCAAGGTCAGGTCACCAGGTCACTTGAAGTGACCTCACCTCATAAAAAGTTTCAATGTCTGTCATTGCTACACCGAGTGATCGATCGCTTTGAAACTTTCAGCGATTGATAAGGGTAACAGTATCTATAAAATGTATATCTCAGAATCTTGATATCGGTGACCTAAGGTCAGGTCGATTTTGCGACCTCCCCATTATAAGTCAATGGGAGAAAATTGAAATGCGCCTCTTTTGGACGAAAGACATTATAAACACTTACAAACACTGAATTACAAGTGGTTTAAACACACTGAACATGAAAATGGTGTCCATGACCCCTATTTATGCCCCTGAGGTCATTTCAGGTCACGAATGGTGTCTAACAGTTTTTCGCAAATAACTTTTGATAGAGGCATGCTAGAGCGGTGAAAACGCCTTAGATGTGTTCAGCTCGACGATACGGATCGACTGATATGCAACATGACCTTTTCCGGTCAGGTCATGACCTTGACCTGAGGTCAAATTTTCAAGTTGACCTTTCAAGGTAAGTTATAGTTCATTCGATGCGTCTTGACGAGAGGAACAGGATGCCGGTAAAAGTAAGCTCGTACAAGGCTTGGGTCAAAAATTATTGCAGAAAAACTGTTTCCGAAAAAAAAATCTGCTATTTTTGCAGTTTTTGCCCCTGCAGGCAAAACCGTTGACGTTAGGTCAAATCTGAGAGAATTACTCAGAAAGGGCGTTAATAGGGCTATCGAATGCGCTTTTCCGCGGCGCTTTAGCTCTATTGGTTCCCGAGTTATGCGTTGGCTTCCTGGAAATTGTCGACATTCGACCTGAAAATCGGCGAAATTTTGCCTTCAATGACCTCTGGTGACCTGACCTTTGACCTGACCGAAAAAGTGACTGAAGTAATTTCGCCATTATTTTTGGCGCTCTTTCGAACGCCGCCTTCCGCGTATCGCTACGTGGCCCAGGAGCCGAGTTAGAAGGGGGGTGCTCAAACACCCCCCCCCCAGCAGGGCGTGGAAATCCAGGACCCCCAGCCGGGCGCGGGATATAGAATCTGACAGCTTGTCATCAGCTTATCGGAAACATTCGTCCGAGGACAGGTCGGCTGCACGAGTGACCTGACAGACGACTGTAGCAGATCTGGGACATGATGCGCTCCGTGACCCCATAAGGCGGCTCCGTGACAGATCGAGAAGGGGCTCCGTGACCGATCGAAACACACCTGGACAGACCGATCGGTCAGACCGCACATCACCGACCGGCCGGGTTTCGTCAGACCGGGTCGGGTGAAAACGAAAAGTTCGCCGAACGGGCGCCGGAACTGACACCGTGACCATCGAACGGCTCACCGTGACCATTAACAATATCGCAACAGCATCCAGAGGTGCACATTGCAGAATAATTTTCGTTACATTCCAATGTTTCCAGTTGGCGAAGAATTATGCTTAACTACACAATGCACAGTCGAAACGATAAAATGCATACAAGTGTCACGGATTGCCTTTAGATGAAGAGTGTAACTGCATAGTTCACGCGCGCGCGATAATATTTCGGTATGCTGACTGGGAAAATGAGGAGGGAGAGATTTGAATGAACTTGAACTAGAAATGAATGAAATAACTTTGATCTTGAATACCAAGCGAGTTTGCGATGAACTGTACTTGAATACTGTGTAACTGTAAATGGTGAAATGTGAAATAATTCATCCATGTCATACTTGTTCGAACAAAGAAATACAGAATCTGGCTGAAACGTAACTTCAAGGTAAAGTATGTGAGAACGTAGCATTAGCGTACCGTAACTGACGTTGAGACACAACATTACTGGCGACCCTGGCAGGACACGACATGGAGAAGTATTTAGAATTAGCGACCCGCTATGGGTTACAAGGCGAAGAGGCGCTCAAGTTCGCAACGGAACGTATGGATAAAGACATGGAGCGAGAGGAAAGAAGACTGCAACGAGATGATGAGCGCGAGAAGGAGAGAGAATTACAAGAAAAGCAGCGAGAAGCACAGGAGAAACAGCGAGAGGAGCAGCAAAGGCAGCGTGAGGAAAATGAAAAGCAAAGAAAGCACGAACTACAAATTGAACAAATGAGACTTGAAAGCAACAGAGAGAGTCAAGACAGCAGGAACACGGAGGTCAGATCAACGGCAAAAAGACCAAAGATACCGACCTTTGATGACGGAAAAGATGACATGGACAATTACCTTAACCGATTCGAGAGAATCGCGGAGGTGAACCAGTGGCCACGCGGAGAGTGGGCGGCTAACTTGAGCGCACTGCTCACCGGCCGGGCTCTAGATGCGTATTCGCGACTAAGCAGGCAAGAGTCTGAAGACTACGATCTTCTGAAAATGGCCCTTCTGATGAGATACGGCCTGACCGGCGAGGGGTATCGTAAGAAATTGCGCGAATCACGACCCGAAACAAATGAAACGGCCGGACAGTTCATCACTCGACTGACCAACTACGCAACTCGATGGGTCGACCTGACAAACACTGAACACTCATTCAAGGCAATGCGCGACCTAGTGATTCAAGAACAGTTCCTGGAGTGTTGTCCGCGAGCACTGCAAGTCTACATCAAGGAGAAAGGGGCGGACGACCTGGAAGAAATAGCATCCTATGCAGCAACCTACACGGATGCACACGGCCGCTCATTCTACAGCCTATGCAGAGCGTCGGGCGCTCCTGTGGAAAGAACTCGACCCGAACGACGAGTGAGCCCTCACGGCTCAGCAACGGCGCTGCGAGCCGCTCGTCAGGAGCAGTCGCCTCGCTGCGCCTTCTGCGAGTTCCCGCATCCGGCGGAAGAATGCAGAAGAGTCAGAAGCTGGACGGTGACCGAGAAGCGTGACCGACTGAGGCGTACTGGCGCCTGCTACTGGTGCCTTCAGACCGGCCACCGCGCGGCGGACTGCGCGGCTGGCAAGTCACGCTGCACCGGCTGCGGTGGAAGGCACCACGCGCTCCTCTGCAGCGGCTCGACCAGCGCTGCCGTCAACGCCGCCGCCGCCGCCGTGGGGACCTCGTCAGCCATGGACGATGCCACCGCTCTGACAACAACCTTCCAATCGGATCAAGAAGCAAGTGCCACCGTGACAGCAGCAAGTAATACCAAACAAGATAAGATTTTAATGCAGACGGCGCGAGTGAAAGCAAATGGAGACAGCAGCTCAAGGATGGTGCGGATTATGATCGACTCGGGAAGCAATCAAACTTTCGTGAGAACGGCGGTGGCCCGCGAGCTCGGCTGCCACGCTCTGAGCAGCGAGCCATTGAAAGTGGAAACCTTTGGCGGAGGCCAGACGGAGTCACGTCTGACACGAAAGGTGCAACTGTCCCTGAAGGCGAACAACAATCGTGACATAACTATAGCGGCTTACGAGGTGCCAGAAATATGCACCGCGCCTCCAACAGCCTTGGTCACCGAGCTTCAGAAGTACCCCCATCTCAACGGGCTCCAGCTAGCAGAGCGGTCGGATGGAAGTTCTATGAGTCAGGAGATTGACATTCTCATCGGACTCGACAACTACCGGGAAGTGATCGATATCGATGGAAGAATAAAAATGTGTGCAACTGGGCCAGTGGCCATGGGTTCTCACTTTGGCTGGATCCTCGCCGGGCGGGTGCAGTCAGAGAGTGAGAGTGCCACCCCAGTGATGGCCAACTTCATTCGTGCTGATCACAGGGACGAGCTCGAAAATCTTTGGAACCTGGAAGGCATCGGCATCAGTTCAACTGGAGTGAGTGGAGTGAGCAAGAAAGAAGAAGATGACGAAGAAGCTTTTCGTCATTTCCGGGAAACATGCCGTCGTCTCCCTGACGGGCGCTATGAAAACCGCTGGCCCTGGAAAGACGGGGCCGCCCAGAGCTTACCAACCAACGATCAGCACGCGCTAGCCAGACTGAAAGCGTGCGAGGCTTCTCTTCGAAAGAACGGACGTTTGACAGAATACGATGACGCCATTCAAGCCTACTTGGAGATGGAGCACGCAGAGAAGGCGCCGGTCCAGCCAGACGGTCCTGTGCACGTGCTGCCACACCACGGCGTCTTCAAGAAGGAGAAGGTCCGAGTGGTATTTGACGCGGCTGCCGGTCATCCAAGGGGTCTCAATGACTTCATTCTGACTGGTCCAAACCTCATCGCAGATCTGACCGGTATCCTCCTACGGTTTCGCTTCAACAGGATCGGTCTGACAGCGGATCTAGAAAAGGCGTTTTTGCAGCTGTCACTCCATCCGGCCGATCGTGACGTCACGCGGTTCCTTTGGAGGAGCTGCGCGTCGGACCCTGAGCCAACGACCTACCGAATGACCAGGGTCGTATTTGGGGTGAATGCTTCGCCGTTCCTGTTACAGGCGACCATACGACAGCATCTTGACCTGTTCAAGTCGTCAGACTGCGAACTGGTCGACCGCCTGCTCAGAGATATCTACTGCGACGACTTGATCACCAGCGTCAGTTCAGAAGAAGAGGCTCACCGAGTGAGGGACAGGACAGTGGAGATCTTTAGTGAAGCCCAGATGAACATGACTAAGTGGACAACGAGCCTCCAGTCGCC